TACTTAGTTCGAGTTAATTTTTGGGAAAAAATATAGATTTGATTTTTTTAAGTATAAATCTAATTTTTTTCAAGTGATCCGAAATAATGGCGAAACACAGATGAAGAGAGAGAGAGTGAGAAAGAAAGGAGTTACCGAGTGAAAGAGGGATTTAGAGTGATGGAGGCTCAAAAATAAAGACTCGAAGTGAAGTAAAGACTCGAAGTGAAGTAAAAGTCTGTATTCTAAAGAGTGAAGATAAATATTAACCCTGATTAAATTTATATTATATATTTATGTATATTCGGGTTCAATCCGATTTAATAATCGGGTTTAACTTGATTTTAATATTCGAGTTGAACCCGACAACCCAAATTACTTAAATTCAATTCAGGTTGGAGTTTTTTTACCTAAGCCTGATCCAAGAATTAAAAATTCTAACCCAAACCTTATTTTTTTTGGGTTGGGCTCAGGTTGAATTTGGTTAGCCCGCCTAAGTTGCACCCCTAGTTTCACCCTATCTTACTGGTAAGAAATATGATTTTTCGTCCAAATTAATCGTGTAGAAAATCAAGTGAACACTTTTGTAGTTATTAATTTTTGAATTATTTTAACAATTCAATTAAATAATATGCACCAATTTAACAACACAATAAATCAATAACACTAAAATATAAAATAATTACAATAACAATTACAATAAAAAATAAGAAATTATAAACAGTAATCCATCATAATTGTTGCACAAATAAAATAATAGTTATTTTAAGTTTAAACTATATGGTTAGAGAATTAGGATTTTTAGTTTATATATATAAATAAATAAATTATGCGGGTAGGCTATGATAGAAAATACGAAAATTAATAGTTATTCGACATTCCTATCTGATTTAATCGAAAGACCAAAAACTCTTTCGTATTTCTATTCAATTTTTTTGACTAATCGTTCAATAAGGTTGAATAAGATCAAATAAGATAAAAAATTACTCGTAATAAAAAATTTGAATACCCTCGTTATGCGGCTGTAGAATTGAGCTATCCCCACAGGCACTAAAAGGAGGGACCCAATCACATGGGTCTTGAATTGTAGCAGCCAGTCATTGTATTCCTACATTGCTATCTGGTGTTATTTGGGATTGGACGGATGGAGATGCATACTTATAGGTTTGTCCACTGGTCGTGAGCCGCGCAAAATATGTTTTCTTTTAATATATGAATTAAAATATTGTAGTTAAAAAATAAAATTTAATTAAATTATTTGATTAAAAAGTTAAAAGTTAAAATTTTAAATGAATTATTGTAATTAAAAATTTAAAAATTTAAATTTAAATAAATTATCGTTATTAAAATATTAAATCATAATATATCCCGTCAATTTAAACGATATGGATCATTGTTACGTTTTTTTAACCGAGAAACTTAAGCAGCTCAAGTAAGAACCACTGCTTTATTATTATAAATTTTGTAATTGTATGTAAATTATGTATGATTATTCGGTATAATTGATTCCATACTACCTATTTAAATAAATACATCAATTAGTTAAAAAGCTAATTATTAATTGAACCCCATCAAAATTCAAGCCATAAATACTAACATTCTGTTAACTCATGTTTCATTTAAGAGTTAAATCATAAATTACATTTCAATTGTAACTCATTAGAGGCGTTATATATCTATTACCCCGATCAGTAGTTAGTCTCTAAATTATATTAGAGACTATTTTGAAAATAAAGGGCGTCGAAATATAATTTAGTTTGAAAAAATGTGTAAATATATGAACAACAAACTATCTAAGTCGAAATACAACAATTTGAGAGTAATTCTTAATCTAATAGAATCTACATCAAATTTGTCACATCAAATATTGTGTTTTTTCACTTAGCCACCTATTACTTGTGAATAAAGTGAAAATCTAACAAAATATATTTAGTGTAACGATGCCACTATTACACACGCTAATTAAGCACGTATGTTGTGAAATAAATAATTTCTTTCCTAAGAAGTGATATTGCCAATTTTACCCTTCATTCAAATTTCCAGCCTATCTCTTTCTCCAACTCCTTCACCAGCACAATCCATACCATCACTATAACCCCCCTCTTCTTCCTCCTATCTAAACCCACAGTTGCTATAACTCCCCACCCAAACAGCTAACGCTACTGCAACTCTCCCACCCAACTTTCTCCACGTCGATACGACTCACCCATCTAACTCACCTGATGATACCTAAAAGAAATTTTAAAGTTTGAATTCAGGAGTTGAGGTTAGGAATGGAGCTCAGCTGAGAGCTCCTGAGTTTAAAGGTCCAGACCTTGGTATTATTCGACCTACTTCATGAAGAAAATGAGTGGAAAACAGCTGACAACCACAAAGCCCCCCCTTAACGGTCAATCTAGGCGCAAGATCCTCAACTTCTTAAACAATCTCCTAAAATCAAGTGAGATATTACGAAAGGAAAGTGAAGATCTCGCCACATGCCCTATATAATTAGGAACTAAGTTATAAAAAATTGTACAATATCCTCACTACAAGACAAGCAACCCAGGTTATACCAAGAATACTATGTAATCCTCTCATGATCATCAATATATATCCCAAGAGCAAGATACTCCATTGAAGAGTAGATTAGCAGAACTCCCGAGCCGATAAACCACTATAATTCTACTGTGCAAACTATCTCTTATCCCCTAATCACCGCATTGTTCTTACGAGCCGTGTAGCTTAGATCAAACCCTGCTTTATATATATATATATATTATGCTCAACCAAGTTTTGCACACCATCATCACCCATAACTTCTGCAACTTCTCCACCCAAACCCACCCCCACAACGCTGCAACTCTCCTAATCCACAACCACAACAATTTCCCTATCCCTTGCCACTGCGAAGCCCCTACCTTACGAATACTGAAAATCCCCGCAATTCGCATCCAAGTTGAACAACGTTTTGAGTGTGGTCCAATTTTTTTTTCTAGTTTTAATTTAAATGTTATTTTTTTGAGTTTGATTATAATTTTGACACAATGAAGGTGCAGTGATAATGTGTTGGTGGATGATGTTTAGGAGGGGTGTGGCGGATGAGCTTTGAACTTTTGACTATTGCGTCAACAGAGATTTTGTGGTATTTGGGTTGGCTATGAAAGGGGGAGTTTCTAGTTGGGTGGGGCAGTGGTGGTGGCCTTGGTGGGGGTAGGGCAGTTATGGTGATTGGGAGAGGGGTGTGCCTAATTTTTTTGGGGAAGTCTTTGGGATGGATGGTATTACAAAGGAAATTAGAAGAAAAATAGAGGATATCTAAGTCTTTTTTTCAAAAATCATTGGATCTACTACAATTTGTATTTTATTCACAAGTAAGAGAGGGTTAATTACAACTTGTAATCATTTTACTGACTTGCAGTTGTTGAGGAGAGTGACATACAATTGACCTTAAGTCGACTTTATGCAATTTACCCTAATAAGTAATTAGAACGATACTGAATCGCATAGAAGAGTACAATAAAGCATTTGATAGAAAAAATAAAGCATTACAAGCAGGTTGAATTCAAGAAAAGACTTGACAACTAAAAACCACCTCCTAGCAGGGAGAATGGATAAGGCGGTGGACTGGTCTCTATCCCAGCCATGACTCCGCCAAAGTTTCCTAAATCTCCACCACTTATAATATTATCATACCCTTCCACTCTATCCACCGGCGGCGACACCACCGCGAAACAACCATTTCCGCCGGAAAAACCAGATGACAATGAAGTAGAAGTGGTGGCACAATCATAAGGTTCTTTGGTGATCCCATACCGACCCATGAACTGTCCTTCACTCAACCACGCCGTGGACGGTGTTTCCGGCGACGATGACAACGGACAGAATTTGCCCGTATCAAAACTAGCCTCCGGCGATGAAAAAGACGTTGCCCCATAAAGGGCAGTGTTTTCTTCTTCCGCTTCACTCTTCACGGAACTTTTTTCCGTCATTACTGATGAAGAAGGTAATGAAGATATAGTCAAATTCAAACGTCTCTTCTTCTCCCCAAACCTTCTGGTTTTCTCTTTCGGAAGCATCATTCTTGGTAAAATTTCGGGGTCTTCTGCAACTTTACTCAAAAACGCCAACATTTTTTGGGGTCTCCTCTCTGTTGCCTCAAGCCTCTTGTTCATGCCTTCAAGTTCTTGTTCCAAAGCTTTCTGTTCTTGCTTTAACCTCTCTATCTCCATCAACATACGATCCTCCTCTTCATCATCTTCAAGCTTGTTTTGCATTGTATGATTGTTCTTACTGTGCTTCTTCCTCACAATATTCTTCAGTAAATGGGTCTGCCCACGAAGAAACCATTCACTTGCAAACTCCCACCTATCCGGATCAACCTTCCGAAAACCCTATACCCACCAATAAAACAACTAAATTTTCATAAATTTTACAGAGATTTGGCATTTGAGAGTTGGGCTACTAATACTATTACACCTAGTTAACGTCGGTTTGCTTATTTTACAATGCATAGATTCTCAAAAACAAAAACGTTTCGCAACTAGAATGAAAACAGAGAAAGAATTTATAAATTTATTTTCAAAACTCATTCAAAAACAAACTCGAAACGTTATGCTCTTGATTTTGTAGAAAAGAATGAAATTTTGACCCTTGATTGCATATTTGTAGGTGATTGAACATATATATGTATGTTAATGGTAGTCTTCAAATACTCACATAGGTGTTGAGCTGACGAACAAAGCTAGAGAAATTGTTGTGCTTGAAGTAAGCTGGTAAAAGTTTCTGTGAGAAATCTAATGGGTCGATGACGATGAAGCTATTGTTGGCTCTACCCCAACTGATGAGACTGTCCGTCGTCTGATCATTGACCATTTGATAAATCTTCACAACGAACGGTGCTACTATATTCTCAGTTTCCATCTCCTCTCTCTCTATGACCCTTCTTTTTCCTGTCTACAGGGATGAACTGAGAGAGTTCTGGTGCTCTTAGTGCTAGTGCGTGTGTGAAAATTTCATCCGTTCAATTGCGTTTGTGATGCTGAGGCGACATTGATCATTATATATACCGTGTCGAGACCAGTAAGAAGGGGCAACGTGGCGGCCGCTGGTACGATTGCAAGGCGGATCCCAGTTGTCATCGCTTTTATCATCTTATGGTACACGTCACGGTTGGGGGCATATAGATATTTTTTGGGCAATATTCCGTCGACATAAAAAATAAATTTAAAAATTAAATTTGATAACCATAATCATTTATTTTATATTGAATTTCAGTATTTATTAGATCCACTATCTATTCAATTATTGAGATTATTAAATCTAATTTTTAAGTCCATCTATCGTTACTCATATTAATTTTAAACGGGTGACGGGTGAAAAACGTATAAACTCATACACGATACGTTTAATAAACGGGTAAAAAATCTCAACACGAACACGACCTGTTTAATAAACGGGTAACACAACAACTCGTTTAACCTATTTAATTTTAAAAAAATTATATCAATAAATTTTAATACTCTATTTTTTTATTACTAATTGCACTTACCTCAAAAAAAAAGAATTTTAAATCAAATCTCATAAAAATATTACTTGAAGGCTTTAAAAAAAAAAGGCAAAAGACTATTGCCTTTTATAGACAACTCACCCTCCCCATCTCCCCTCATTTTCCAATGTGAGACGAAAATAAAAGACATTGATTTGCCTTTTGTCTTTGAAAAATAAGACTTGAAAACTTTAAAAGTAAAAGCAAGAGATCATTATCTTTTATAGACAACTCAACCCTCCTCATCTCCCCTCATTTTTCAATGTGGGACAAAAATAAAAGACATTTGTTTGCCTTTGTCGTTGAAGTGCTCTTTAACTCTTCTCATTTGTCTTTAAACTACTACTTTACTTTTTTTTATTGATTTCTATACTTCTTTTTTCTTGTTAATTTTTTTAAATAATTATTAATTTATTATTATATTAATTTTATTTAAACAGGTAAACGTGTGATAAACGGCTTAATAGGACTCACCCGAATACGACTCGTTTATTAAACGTGTTTGGCGTGTCAACCCGTTTATCACCCAAACCCGTTAAGATCTCATCCAAACCCATTTAATTCGTGTCGATTAATCGTGTCGTATCTAATTTTGACAGCCTAATCATACTCATTCATATACAACGTGTGGATACCCCTATAAGAAAGAAAAAAAGTCCACAAAGTGCTGACGTGGAAAGTACAGTTAAGCCAATTAAATTAGTTTTAAGTTTTTTTTGGGGAGAATTACACTGAAATTCCTTAAAGTTTATTACTTACTTATTCAGACCCTCTGATATTTAAAATATTACACACACGATATTTAATATATTACACACAGATCAAAAATAAAAATCTAATTTTTTTAAAAAAATTCATAATTAGTATACAATTATACTATCTATTTGAATTTAATTTGATCATTTAAACGACCAAATTACTCCAATTAAAGTTAAAAATAGTTTGACCCTTTGTTTGTAATCTCGAGGGCCACGCTTTGTCCTGGTCCACCATCCGGAGGGATTGTAAGGGAGGAAAGTGAAGCTAAAAACTCGCAGTTCAATTCCTCTAGTATTTCTCCTGCTTTTCTTTAACTCTAGTTTAGCGGTCCCGCATTATCAAACGGTCCCACACTGTCAAGCAGACGCATATTAGGAGAAAGAATGAATCCCTCTTGGACTTAACTCTAGTGATTTCTTTCTTACTGAGGCAAGCAAACTCCCATTGTGTCTTAGATCACATTCCGTGAATCGAAAGTGAAAGCCTACTCATCCATTAGCTCTTCTCACCGGTGCAATTTTACAAACGACTAAGCACAATTCACTCGCATTGATCAATCAAAGAGGTTTGTCGCCACTTCTAGGTTACCTCTTGTATCATACACCTCTTGCATTCTTTCTCACACTTCATACTCCCCTCTTTCTTCTTATTTAAATAAATATGATTCAAAAGAACGCCATAAGGATTCTAATTTTCTTCTTTTTGAGACTTGTTTTTATCAAAAACTCTAGAGCTATTGATTTCTTCACTAGAAATATTTCTTTCTTCTGAATCTGAATTTAAAGTTTACATAAAAAAAATAAATGATTTCGTTAAAAGGTCATCCCTTACTTCATTCCTTTCTAAGGGGTTGTTTGCACGAGTGAAAGCCCTCTTTTATCCCCTCCTAACACTTTAGCTACTTTTGAGAAGGCTTGAGCCAAGGTTGTTCTTAGCTCTAATTCACCACCCCTCAAGTATGGGAAACACGTAAAAACTCAATTGTGTTAAGCAAAAATTCAATCCTTGAACTTAGAGATAAGTTAATATACTGAATGCGAATGAAGTGACCCATCTAAATGAGTCACTCACTCTAATGGGCATGGAAAAAAGTAACTCGGGCGAAAGAGATGGCTCTATACCAAAGAATTATGGATTTGTAAGAGGTTGGGAAAGGTTGTAAAATTTAAAATATTTTATATTTTATGTTTTGTTGTAATATTTTTTATTTAAATATAACATTTTAAATATGAGGGTCTAAGTATTACACGCTTACAAATTTCAAAGGGTTTGGATGTAATTTACTAATGGATATTGACGATAAGGATGTAAGTGTTATGCTTGTACAAACTTCTTCAGGTTTAAATATAATTCTCATTTTTTTAGTCACAGGGAGGATAAACAAATTTGATAATGCACAAATTAGTGGTTCGATCAATACGACCTACGTCCACTTTGAATGGTTAGGTTCGCCGAAATTTTATTATCTCCGGTGTGGAGGGAGAGCACATGATTACATGTTTTGAGAGAGGAGGAGAGAATTATGTTCAAATGAGTCTGATGCCCCTCAAGTGTTGGGGGAGCTTACAATTTATAGTGGCTTGGCATAGTAATTGTATGACTAGTCTGACGGTCATAATGGCTTAAGACCGTTTGATAGTAATTAGGTAGCTAATCTAGCGGACGCGACCTATCATCTTCTCAACGAACGAGGTGTGACGGTTGGTGTGCTCTCCAAAGGACTTGTTCAAGGATGAAGGAGGTTGACTCTCTCCAGGTTGCGAGGGTGAGGCTCCTGGATGCTCCATTGGTGGTGAGGGTGGGGCTCCTAGATGCTCCCTTGGTTGCTTAGAGGAGGCTCTTGGATGACCCTTACTCCAACGTGGTAGAGGAGACCCTTGGATGACCCTTACTCCAAGGTGGTAAAGGAGGAGGCTCTTGGATGACCTTGTCTGCTCCTTGCTGATGTAGTAGCTCTTTCAGCCTGATGAGCTTGACTGGATTGATCACATCGGGTTGAATTTGTTAGATCTCTTGGAGTCAGGCTATAAACTAGGACCGAGCTTATAACACAAGTTGGGCGTAGCCCATCATTTGCCCCCCAATGCCCTGCGTCCAACAGAACTTGGAAAGGAGAGCATTTAAGTTGAATTTGAATTTTCGGCTGACCAGTAAAATTAGAAAAAATTTGGGAGGCCAAAACATCCGTTTATAGGTCTTTTTTGGACTTTTAACAGCATCATTCAAAGCCATAGGCTGTGAGTATTGTAGGGCTCGCCGAGAGTTTCGATTTGATATATTATAAGCCTTATTTCAAGCAATAGAGCAAAAGTTACTATCAAAATTTCGAACAGAGAGCTACGCGAGCAATTTGGTTGAGCAGGTAGCTGTCCAGGTGAGCAGAGCACTGTTCTGGACTAGCAATAATTTTTTTATTTTTTTATTTTTTTAACTTCGAGAGGCCAAAACACCTCTTTCTGAACGTTTTTTGGACTTTTTTTTTAAAAGCTTATTATCAAAAGTAATAAGTTTTGCTCAGTTCGTCGAGAGCTTCGATTTGGTATATAATAAGCCCCATTTTGAGTTATGAACCAAAAATTACGGTCAAAATAGCGAGCAGAAAGCCAGGGGCGTGTTTTTGGGTGAACTGCCAGCTTTTTGGCGAACAGGCCACCTCCTTGGTGAGCAAGCCACCTCCTGGACAAATTTTTTTTTTTTTTTTAAACTTCGGGAGGCCAAAACACCTCTTTCTGGACTTTTTTTGGAAAGCTCATTACCAAAGGTAATTAGTTTTGCTCAGCCCGTCGAGAGCTTCGATTTGATATATAATATGTCCCATTTTAATTTACGTAGCAAAATTTTACGGCCAAAATATTTAGCAGACGCGCTGGCGCGCGATTTTGGGCGAGCAGGCACCGCTTTGGGCGACCATACAGCTAGGCACGTTATTTTGAGCGAGCAAAAGGCCTTGGGCGCCTTTTAGGGTACTGACTTGAGAAACTTGGGCGAGCAAGAGGCCTTGGGTGAGCTCGAGAATTGCCTAAGCACCACTCCAGGTCATCTTGAGGAGTAGCCTGCTCGTGTAGGAGGGGTGGTCTGGCGTGGAGATGGGAAGGCAGACGCCGACAAGGGCCTGGGCGAGTAGGCGACATCACTGTGCGTTGCTATAGTTCGCGTAGTAGGTGAGGGGGCTGCTCGAGTCTTCATGCATGCTGGGCGTGCTGATCTAGTCCATCAGGCGCCTAAGGGCGTTAGGTGAGGGGGCTGCTCGAGTTTTCATGCATGCTGGCCTGCATGCTGGGCGTGCTGATCTAGTCCATCAGGCGCCTAGGGGCGTTAGGTGAGGGGGCTGCTCAAGTCATGGAGTGAAGGCACCAAGAGACGCCAATTTGGGCGAGCACAAATGGTTGGGCGCCTACAGGACTACTTCGCTTGTACGAGCAAAGGGGGCCAGGCACTGGGCTGCCCATTTGGGCGACCCGCGAGAGAGCCGCTAAGCTAGAGATAGGCTACCTGTTTGAGAACAGTGCAGAGGTAGGCAAGCTTTTTAGTGACCCTCGAGAGAGCCGCTAAGCTGGAGATAAACTACCTGTTTAAGAACAGTGTAGAAGTAGGCCAAGTTTTTTGGCGACCCTCGAGAGAACCGCTCAGCTGAAGATAAACTACTTATTTAAGAACAGTGTAGACGCAGGTCAAGCTTTTGGCGATCCGTGAGATGATTCACCTCGCCTGGACCTGTTGATTTCCTCAGCATTCATAAATTTTTGAACTTTTGCCAATAGTTCTGGCATGCTCTTTGGTGGGCGTTTCATCACGGAGAAAAGGAAGTTCGATAACCGAAGGCCTCCCAAGAAG